ACCGACCCTCTGGACCACACATTCGGTTCGAATCCCTGTCCGAACACGACTTCCCATCGGCTTTACAGTCAAAGAGTATACACTTATTCTGTTCGTTACTCCACTCGTAGTCGGGAGCGCACCGGCATTTGTCGTCCACACACACCTCATTATCGCCACATTTACTACCGGCCCCACATACCGGCTCAAAATCATACGTACACTTCAAGCCATTAGTTTCATTTACTCGATAATCTTTTCCATTACAAATACAACTACCCTGATAACATACGCGGTGATCCCACATATTGTAGCATGATCGCTGAATCCAATCGCATGTATACTTGACACATTTAGCATTTTTGAAATCGCTACTAGGTGGTTTATAATAATCTGGCTTACAAACGCAGCCACCGTCCACACATAACTGATTAGGGTCATTAGTGATGCATTCTTGGTCATTCTTGCATGATACCTTTCCAACAATATTGCAATAACCATTTGTATCAGGATTCTCTAAACGCTCCCGTTCATCGCATATACATTTACCAAGGTGTTTGTCGCAGATTCGATAAGTGTGGCATTTGTTGTCCAAGGTACAATTAAAATTTATACACGTGTCATAGTTTTCATTATAATAGTAGTCGGGTAGGCAATCACATCTGTCCCCTATACAAAGTAGGCCTACCATACAGTCTGCAGTTGTGTCACATTGCCGTAGGTAACCACCCGAACAGACAGATATCATACATAAAAAGTACACTACCCTGTTTGACATGAGATAGTGCGCCGCACTATCTGTTAAAAAAGTGATTTATTTGGAAAAAGTATATGGCGCACTTATGGGTGCGCATTATCTGAGAAAAATAATTTCAATTAAAATAATTTTTATTTGCAATAATTTTAAATTAATAGAATCAAAGAATTAAATCAAACTTTGTATTAATTAAACAACTTTATAAATTAAAAACACATTGATTTGAGTAAATGTTTAAAAATGTGAGTATTTGCACAAACTGACTAAATAAATTTTGAATTAAATTATTTAAACTTTTAAATCCTTTTGTCTAATCTAAATCTTGTGTTAAGCTAATGCCTAAACATTTCAAATAAGAATTTGCCCTAAAGCTCTTAATTTATAGTCATTAATACCTGTGTGTATATTCATATAAAATCTGTGCGCACTATACGCCGGGGCGCACTATCTCACGTCAAACAGGGTAAATGGAAATGTGATTGAATTTCAATAATGCATAGACCATGTTCCATATTACTAAGATCATAGTAAAAGTCCATACATTACTTACAGATCTCTCAATAATAACATTCACAAATGTATTTTATTTAAAAATAATTTAAAATAATTTCACAATGTGATATGTAATATTTTATGAATACCACATATTATACATGTTTTAGTCACTATAACAATATTTTTATATCGAATTAAAATATAAAATAAATATATTTAATTAGAAATTGTAATAATTAAAAATATTTATTCCTTTTGTTTATTAAAAACATTAAAATTCATTAAATTGTTCATTTAATATATTCAAAAACAACAAATATAAAATTTGAAAATTTATTTACTTATTTATGATGTAAATATCGGATTTTTAGCATATTTTATACTGAAGTACTGTCAACATGCACAGATATCTCTCAAATATACCAATAATTTATTTAATTACTAAATTAAGGTTATAATAGTGTTCCCGTTTATTAATATGAATATATTCCTGAATAACAAAAATATTTACATAATAATTGCGTAATAATCTAATATATTCATTCATACATAAAATCATTTATAATATCATGTTTACAAATACCAGTATTATTTATTTATATAAGCAACAAAATTAATCATATAATAAGTGTTTTTGATTTTTAATTTTTGTATTAATGTATTTTATTATTAATGATTTATATGACATTATTTGGATAGTAATCTGCTATATTTATTTATTAATACTGTATATTCTAAATCAAAATACTAAATATATTAATTTACAAACATGTTCATTAAAATATTTACTTATAATCAATACTGTATAGCATTGAGTGCCATACTCACACTTTAATGACAACTAGCCTGGTAACAACTTTCCATTTTAAATTGAAACATAAATCAATTGAAACATTGATGCAAACATTGAAACAAATTAAATTTAAATAAATTAAATATATTATGCAATACGGTGTGAAACCTAGTGAAAAATATTTGAAATATAAAATTGATATCATATTTAAACATTTCTACAATTAATACGATAAAAGCAAAACTAAAACAATAAAATATAAATACGAAAAGCGATTGCATTTCAATAAGTGTTAGGCACTGGACCCGTGTGCTCGTGTCCAGGTACAAGTCGGACAAACTCATACCATTTAGCAAAACGTTATTATTAGCAATTATTTGTGTAATATCAATGTAAAACTGTTTGCCCGCTTTCACCCAATATGTCAACAGCGATGCCTCAAATAACCGTTGAGTGCTGCATACAAAATGCATAATCAAGATAAAGTAACAAACAATAACAAGTACCTACATAATATTTGTCTCATTAATAAATGTAAACTGTGGTCCGTAACATAGGGCGGTGATGAGGGCCGGTAGATATGATTGACCCAAATGGACGGATGCTATACGCGCTGCGTATTGGTAACCAATGTCGACAAATACCTCGTCTATAACGACGACCGTATACTTCATTTTGTCATATATAAGGTCCATATGATCTAGATATTTTAAATTGGCCTGAATACTATCGGGGGAATCAACTTGTTTTAGCTTATGTCTCACTAATTGTAATAATTTGGCGTTAAATGTATTATTATGTAAGCTTTTAATGAACCCAGTTGAATTTAACTGGCCGTATGTATAGGGATCGGTATATACATCGACTCTATCATCCAATATGTCATCGATAGTGTGCAGGTTTATATAAGGTCGGGTAAAATAGTCGTTGAGTGCTGCATACAAAATGCATAATCAAGATCATTATAAAGTAACAAACAATAACAAGTACCTACATCATATTTGTCTCATTAATGAATGTAAACTGTGGTCCATAACATAGGGCGGTTATGAGGGCCGGTAGATATGATTGACCCAAATGGACGGATGCTATACGCGCTGCGTATTGGTAACCAATGTCGACAAATATTTGGTCCAAAACGGCGACCGTATACTTCATTTTGTCATATATAAGGTCCATATGATCTAGATATTTTAAATTGGCCTGAATACTATCGGGTGAGTCAACTGGTTTTAGCTTATGTCTCACTAATTGTAATAATTTTGCGTTAAATGTGTTATTATGTAAGCTTTTAATAAACCCAGTTGAATTTAACTGGCCGTATGTATAGGGATCGGTATATACATCGACTCTGTCATCCAATATGTCATCGATAGTGTGCAGGTTAATATAAGGTCGAGTAACTAGGTTTGCTAGTAACTTGTTTCGTAGGATTTCCATTAATGGGATGAGACATATAATCCAGGAAATGTATAAATAATTAAAGTACCGGTGCTCATGTATACCTAGCAATGGCTTAAAATATATCCATAAATATGTGAATACAGAATAATTTTTATGTTTATTATATTGATATTTATTTCGGAGTTTATTAATAATAATGAACACAAATAATGAGCTAATTATGAAATACCAGACTTTTGTGTCCAAACCCTTCCAGATGTCAATAATTGGTGGCAATGGTTCGTAAATGTTAAAGCTTATGATATTAATTAAGTTAGTCATATAAACTGGTCTTGTACAGTTATAAAACACAGTTTCCTTAATAAAGTCAATTTGATGTCTGTTAGGACAAGATAACTGTCCACTCATTGCCATATTATACTCCAATTGGTTTCCGTAGTCATCGGGAGGGCAGTTAAATACATACAGGTGTACACTATATACACATAATATTATAAGTTATAAGTATCTTATATCGAGTTTACATAAAATTGTATAATATCATACCTGTAATTAACCAATTTACCTATCTCAATTAGAACTGATGCGGTTAATGAATGATAATATGCTGTACTTTGATGGTTGATTTCATAAAACTCAACCTGTTGAATTTGAATATTTAATATTCAAAACTAAAAATCTCTTGTTAATTTAATTATTATTTACTTACAGCTTGAGAGTCCGTTTGGATATACAACACATTTTGCTGATTAGATAATAAATGATCAGGCAAAGTATAATTAGATGGTTGTATTTGATCGCAGTCTATATAAGACATGTTAATATTATCCACGTATTTATGCCAATAACCAAATGAATGCTTTTCAATATATTGCGTGAGATCGCCATACATTGTAATTATATCTCTCAACGATAGCATTGTTTGTAAATATTAAATTAAACTTCAAAACTTGATGTTAACCTGGAAATATAATATAGTTTCAAAATGGGTAAGTTAAATAATTTCAATATCTAATAATTAAACACATTTTAGTAAACATTTACGACACAGGTTGGTAATTATGTGAATCATGTAATATACAAAACAGATTATTTTTAGTTTGTTATTAATCCAAAACATCTGAAATTAATTAAATACAATAATAATAATAATAACTTCTTCTAAATAATAAATATTTTAAATAGTTTTCAAAAAATAATATATATTTTTAATGAAAATAAATCAATTAATTTACTAGCCTTCAAAATTATGCATTATTTTAACATTAAATCACCAAGCTTTCACAATGTCATAATAACTATTATAAACTAAATTAACGTTATATGTCAAACGAGTATACCACTTATTTTGTTGTTAAACATTATTACATTTAATGCGATTATAGAGGCATGTAATATCATTTTTATTACATGAACTGAACTTGCTTTAATTTACAAATATACTTATGTAAAATATTTTTCAATCAAAATAAATTAATTAAGATTATTTAAAAGAAAATGTGATTACCATGAT